CCTATCTAAGTGAAAGGCATAGCCCTGCCTCTAGGAATTTTCCATCTGTTGTAGGGATAGGCTGAAGATGTTGAAGAGAGATAGAGAATGGGTACAAAGTGCACTGCAATGATTAGCACAGGAGAATGGGATAGAAACAAGGAGACAGACCTCTGGAGTCAGGCAACCAGAGGGGCACAGGAATGTGGGAGAGGCAGGGGAGGTAATAGCAGACAGAATGACCTTTACATTCGGAGTTAGGAAACCTCTGGAAACTCCTGGCCATGGCCCAGCCTCTCTAGGGGAACTTGGGTGAGTTCTATGGTACCCGTCTGTACAATGAGGCCAGTCCTGGCCAGGGTAGCTCATGGGAGGGAAGGAGGCCAGAGCAGCTGTCTGGGGTAAAGGCCACATGTGATACCTTCTCATTCCAAGTGCTGGCTGAATGCGCTGCATGGCAGGGACTCAGGACAGGAAGCAGGCCTGGGACAAGGAAGGGGGATTCCACAGCCCCAGCTCCTACCCACCCTGCCTAGACTATTTGTCTTTATTTTCTGGCGCCTAAGGAAACAGTTCCTGGCCTGGCCCAGAGGGCCAGAGGGCCAGAGGGCCAGCTGACTGGGCTCTGGCCATGCTCTAAGGACAGATGGAGATCTCAAGTGACAGAGGCCCTGGTCCTGCCACTGCAGGAACAAAAGGGACCCCCCACTTGGCCCAGAAGAGCCCCATGGCTGTCTTTCCCTACCAGTCCCGACTGCCAGGTGGTTTGCTCCTCTGATCTTGGAAAGGCCTTTCCTCCTCTCTCCCCTACGCCTCCAGTTAACTTCCACCTCCCCTCCTGCGGGCAGAAACACGTCTTTTCTCTTTTGATGTTAGTGGAGAGAGAGTTGCGCATGTTAGAACAGGAAGCATTCTTGGCTGTCACCCTGGCTGCCCCAGCTGATGAAGGCCCTGAAGCTCTTTCAGACTTACCCCATGTTACATGCCCTTTGGGTTAGCAGATCTGCAGTGAGGAAACCTGTATGCTGGACATCAGTTTAGGAGCTAAAAGGAGACCGGGGAGGTCGTCAAAGCCAGACCCGTCACTTCTATGCCTTTCTCCGTGCCTTTGTCCCTGCTGCGTCCCTATAGGGATTCCTTTTCCTTCAGACCCATTCTTCAGGCCCTACCCCTGTCCTGCCTTGAGAAGCCACCCAGCACTGAGCCTGCTCAGTGTTCACCTTCTCTGGAGGTCTTGGTCCTGCTCCAGCATCTTGATAGTTGATCATATATGGGCCTGTTTGTCCATTTGTTCATTCCCTCATTTATTCCATAAATATTTATTGAGCGTCTGCTATGCCCCAGGCTCTGGAGATTCAGCAAATAACATAACAGTCAAAAATCTCCCCTGCTCTAAAAGAAGTTTATATTCTAGTGGAGCGACTAGAAAATGGCTGAGTGAGTGAAACATGTGGTATGTTAGGTAAAGTGCTATGGAGAAATATAAACTATTTCTGTTTTGTGCTGGGGACACCAGAGGGAAGACGAAGGGCCAGGTTGGCTTGGAAAGAGCTAGAGCAGGACAGGATGAAAAGGACTAAGTGGGAAAACTACGATGTGAATGGGTAGAAATGGAATGAGGTGGGATGAGATGAATGAACTAGAATCAAATAGAACTACATGGAATCAAAGTTTGGATAGAATCAAACGGAAAGAAGCATGATTAAATAGTGTGCAATCTAACTCAATGGAATGTAATGAAACAGTTTCAAAAGCAGAATAGAATTAAACGGACAGGAGTCCATTGTAATGGGATAGAAGCGAATGCAGTAGAATTAAATGAGATGGGATGGAAGGAATAGATCTGTCTAAACTGAACAGGGCAGGATGGGACAGAAATGAAAGAATGGCTGGCCTGCCCACTCTGACCTTCTCCCCGCTTCCCCAACAGTGTTCCCCAGGGTGCTGCTGCGGACCCTGCGCCACCCCATCTTCCTGCTGGTGGTCCTGTCTCAGGTGTGCATGTCATCCATGGTGGCAGGCATGGCCACCTTCTTGCCCAAGTTCCTGGAGCGCCAGTTTTCCGTCACAGCGTCCTACGCCAACCTGCTCATAGGCGGCCTCACCATCCCATCGGCCATTATAGGCATCGTGGTGGGGGGCATGCTGGTCAAGCGCCTCCACCTGGGCCCCATGCGCTGTGGAGCCCTCTGCCTGCTGGGGGCGCTGTTCTGCCTACTTCTCAGCCTGCCCCTCTTTTTCATGGGCTGCCCTACCCACCGGATTGCAGGCATCACCCACGAGCCTGGGTGAGTGTGTGTGAGAGCGCGTGAGCATAAGCAGGCGGGGAGACGTGTCAGGGAGGGGGCCAAGACAAGGCCAGATGAATTAGGGGACCCATCTACCTCAAATCTCACTTTCCACCAGCACCTTCTCCTCCCCTCCCCACCTACCTTCAGAGCAGTGGGACTTCTGTCTCCGGGTCTCCGGTGAAGGTGTCAGACATCACTAGAAGGGGCAGGGAACATCACAGACAGGACAGTTTGGGTCTGCGGAAAGATGGAAGCCAAGGCAGGGCAAAGCCACTCGTGGGGATGGCATCTCCAGAGTGGCCAAGCCCTGTGAGCCAAGGGGAGGTGAGACAGAGGCCACGTCAGAGAGCAGGACCCAGCTCAGCCTAAGGAACACTTAGTTTCTGGCCAGAAGAAAGGCTGGCCTGGGAGCCTGCATACTCTCCATCCCTGGGGGAGGGGGGGCAGGAGTATAGAGAGAGGGGGTGAGCAGAGGGCTGGAAGCCATGTATCATGGATGCTGCAGAAGGGGCTTAAGCTCTAGGAAAGATTTGGCTTACAGACCTCAAAGATTTGGGGTTTTTAGAGCCTGGCAACAAAAATTCTGTTGTCCCACGACCTTAAACCTTTATAGAGTTCTTTTTCCACATCTGGGCAGTACCAGGAGGAAAGCCTCTGATGCCTATCTCCCTTCTCCATCTCTTTGTCCCCCCACCCTGCCTCAGGCAAATGCCCTCTCCCAGTGGGGTCTGTCTTCGAGAGGATGTTGGAAGATACATTGCTGCCTCTTCAGAATGATTTCACTTTTCCCGGGAACTGCTCCAGGCTCAGGCTGGCCCAAGATGCAGCTAGAATTCCCCAGTTGTCTCCGTGCCCGCCTCTCTCTGGGCACTTCCTCTCTCCACCCACATGCCAGCTCTCCCCACCTGCAGGAGGCACAGCTCAGGGCCCAGAAATGCTCAGCTCTTCCCTCTGTCCCTGGTCCCACAATAAAACCTCTCCCCCATCTCCCTTTCCCTTCCCCTCCTTCCTTCTCCCTTCTTTTCCCATTGAGGCGACTCTGCTGCCTCCTGTCTGCAGAGCCCTTGTTCAAGGCATGGCTGGTGGAGCTTTAGCCAGGCCCTCTAAAGTCCCCTGTTTGAGGAGCGAGCCAGAGCCTTTAAATGATTTGTAAAGAGCAAATGGATATTTTAGCACCAGTTTTGCAAAAAGGAAATGGAAAAAAGTCACCTAGCACACATGCCAATTTCCCTTCCCTTCTGCCTCTTACCTTGACTCTGACATCTCATCTCACTGTGTTCTCCTCTTTGTGCAATTCACTCAACTGAGCTTTGGGCTCTAATTCAGTGAAGAAGCCTTTTGGGACAAACTGAGCAAATTAAGGAGAATTTCTCATATTCCAGCCCAACTAATGATACTTACAGCCGCCAAGAACTGAGGGTCTCCCGTGCTCCCAGCGTCCTGCCCAGTTCTTCCCATATTCTGTCTCATTGAATCGTCACAGGATCTCTGAGATGGGTCCTACCATTATCCCCATTTCACAGATGAGGATAGAGAGGCTCAGAGAGGTGAAGTCACCCACCCAGGGCTGTCCAGCTGGGAGGGGCCGAGCCTGATGCCAGGGCTCTCCCCACAGGAGCAAGGGGCCGAGGAAGAGCCCCCAGCTCTCATCCACTCGGCCTTCCTGACGAGGGTCTGCCCCTGGATGGAGTCCCCTGGTGCAGCTTCAGTTCCAGCAGTGCCAGCCCATTCCCTCCGCTGCCTGGCAGAAAAGGAGGGAGAGATGATCTCTACCCCCCCCCCACACACACACTGTTGGGGGGAGACTCCTCTGAGGGAAGGAGAAGGAGTAGAACTCACCTCTGCCCCTATGCTCTCCCACCCCACTCCCAACTCTGGCTACAGGCTGGCTGACTCAACAGTTGTCCTACTCACTTCCCCTGCCCCTGCTGGGCCTCTTCTCCAGGGAACCGGGATGGCACAAAGCTGGCCAGGCCTGCCACTCTGTCCATACCCACCCTAAGTCCACAGGACCCTCAGCTGGCCACTCTGGCCTCCTCTGTAGCCTGGCCATAGGCTCCCTGGCAGGTTTTCTCCCTCTTAGTTATGAAGTCAGGTCACATTCTGAGTCCCAGGGGCCCCCTCTGCACCTCTCCCAGGGTGACTTACCCCTTGAACTCATCCTCTCTTCTGATCTCCTGCCCCTGTCCACCCCATGTTGCCCCAGCTGACTAGAGTGGGGGCACTCCTGGGACTTGGGGGCAGGCCCTCCAGAGGGAATTGGCAGGACTAAGTCCTGCAGTAGCCACACTGAACAGGGTAGTGATGTGAGCTGAGAGGTTGTGAAACTACAGGATGGCGATGGGAGGGGGTCCCCAGCTGAGCTAAGGGAGACACTGAGGCCCAGTGAGAGGCAGGGACAGGTCAGTGATCCTGCAGCTAGTCAGGTGCCCTGACTGGTCCCAACACACATAACTCGAATTTTCTAAGAAGAGGAAGCAATCCAGCTCATCAAGAAAAAAGCACTTTTCATCTGAGACTAAATTCTGGGATGAGTTTATCTTGTGCTCCCTAAAGAAGGGCCACTGAAGAGTGGAGATGCTTGCAAAAATTCAAAGGCTTGTAGGCTGTTGGGGCTAGAAGGGGTCTCAGAGGCCTCCATCCGACTGTGCTCCCTGCTTCTCCCATTGGGAGGCCTCCCGCAGCTTCTAGTTCATCTCCCTGCTTGCACATCTCCATTGCAAGGTGCCCACCACTGCACCTTCATGGAACAGCCCTGACAGTGAACAAATCTCTGTGTGGAGTTGAAACATGGGGGCATTGCTCTTGGGGTGGGGAGCTGGGCTACAAGGGGTGAGGCGGCCAGGAAGCCAGGCTAACTCTGCCGGCTTTCTCTCCCCCCAGCAACTTGCCTGGACTAGAACAGTTTCCAGCCTGCAGAGGGAATTGCTCCTGTCCATTAGACGACTTTAACCCTATCTGCGACCCCAGCACCCATGTGGAGTACCTCACACCCTGCCAGGCAGGCTGCACAAGCCGGGTGGTCCAGGAGGCTCTGGACAAAAGCCAGGTGGGTCCGGCCTCTGACGGCTCCCTCTGCCTCCCTGGGGCTCTCCGCCCCTCCCTGTCTTTGTGCACCCATCACACTCTCCATCTTTGAACATTCTCATTCTGTGGCTTTTCCGTCTATCTGTTGGCCAGTCTGTCTCCTTCTGTTGGCCGATGTAGAACATTATTCTCACAATAAACTTTTATCGCCAGTCTGGGCCCAGCCATGGGCCAGGCCCCAGAGCACAGGGGTGAACCAGATCTGGCTCCAGCTGTCTGTGCAGGGGAGAGGCAAAAGGAAACAAGTCAGGAATTCCAGGGCTGGTGGTAGGCAGGACAAAGGGTCCCCACAAGTACAGACAAGGATAGAAGAAGATACATCCTGCCTGGAAGGGTCCTGGAAGGCTTTCTGGGAAGTGGCCTTTGAGCTGGATCTTCAAGGATGAGTGAGCAAACTAAGAAAGGGCTTTCCAGGCAGGGGGAGCAGCAGAAGCAGAGTCTGAGAGCGAGCACGTGCACATGGCACACGCACACAGCGTTTCAAGAAACTGCAAAGAACTTATTGGAACAGAAGCATAAGGTTTCAAAGAGGGAAAGCGAGGCCCAGGCAAAGAAGAACCTTGAATGCCAGGCCACCAGTAGGGACCGTATCAAGAGAGTGATGGGGAGCCTTGGATAGGTTTTAAGCAGGCAAGTGACAGGGTCTGATCTGTGTCTGATCACACTTGAGACCACAGTGTGGAGGAAGGTGAGCAGAGTGCAGGCTAGGAGACAGGGAGACGGTGGGGAGGCTGGCACAGTGAGCCCGGTCGGTCAACAAGTCAGTCAACAAACCTTCGCAGAATCCCTCCTCTGTGCCAGGCCCTGTGCTGGGGACTGAAGACCCAGAGGCAAGAGGCCTTACCCTCAAGGGACTCCCAGCAGGGAAGAGAGGGCAGAATAATCAGCAGCGTGCACTCTGTGAACCTTAAAAAGGTCACCGAGACTAGCCACTCCTCTTTCCCTTTCTCCTCAGTCCCCCCCAATGACAAATGAGGATAATATCAGCCTTCCTCAGGCCCCCAGGCTGTAGATTAACATGTGTGTATGTGTGTGGGGGGGGAGGTGCTGGGGGGGGTACAGTGTCAGGCTGGTCATTAGGACACCATGTCCCTCTCTCCAGGGCTCCCCACCTTTGTCATGCGGAACCCCTGCCTTTGCATCCTGCTGGGTATCAGCATCTAAGCCCAACGTTCCTCCAGGTAGAGAGACCTGGACCCCACGGCTAGTGCAGAGTAAAGCACCTGGTCAATGGGGTTTCAGAACCAACAGGAGCCACTTGGGCTGTGCAAACCAAACCGTATTTGCAATAATCATAATCCCAGGCCTTGGGCCTCCTTAGCACTCACTGTTCTTGCCGGGTTTGATCTCCCTAAGACCCTTCCAGAGGACCCCAGGCCCTGCCAGCTGAGGCAAGATCCCCAAGAGAACAGTAAACGTTTGTGGATATGGGCCCCTGAGCACTAAGGCCAGGCCACCCAGTTCAAATCCCTATTCTACCTATAACTGGCTCTGTTACCTTAGGCAAATTATTTGATCTGTGCCTCAGTTTCCTGGTCTATAAAATGTAGGTGATCATAATGAGTACCCACTGTATACTAGCCACTGTGCCAAATGCTTGCCTCAGCTGAATTCATTGAATAGCAAGTGAAGAGCCATATTGACATAACCTACAAAAAGCACTTAGCGTGCCTAGTGGCTGGGACATTTTAAGCACTTGGTGATACACACTCCTGCTATGTCCATTATACAGATGAGAAATGGAGGCCCAGGGAAGGATTCGGCATTGCCCAAAGACTTAGTGCCAGAGCTGGGATTAAAACCCAGGGTTCTGGCCTCCCAGCCCAGCCCCCTCCCCAGAGCATCCTCAGAGGTTGTGTCTGGGTATAGTATTGGGGGGAAGGTGCAGCTGGGCCCTGGTCAGCATCAGGAACTGTCGCCCTGGCCTGGAATAGTCTCTGGCCTGCCTCTCCAGGTCGATGGTGAGCTCATGGGCTTAGGGCTGGGTCAGTCAGCGCCCAGCATGGCTGCACTCAGTAACCATTTATGAACACGTAAAGGACCAGGAGAAAGATGGAAAGAGGTGGGTGCTTGGTGGGATCTGGGGCTCAGGGGGTAAGGCTGAATCCCCCTGGGGAGTGAGAATCAGAGGCAGCTGGAGAGACTGAAGTCATCCATAGGAAGAACTTCCTGCCAGAATTAGATGAATGTGAATGAGGGCTGGGAAAACCCCAAGAGAAAGGCCTCTCACTTTGTGTCCACCCCTGCAATCTTCTGCTCCCCAGAAAAGGCATGGGGGCAGGTGATTTCTCTTCCAGTAATCTTGCCTTCGCATATTTCTCTCCTTACCTGTCCTTCCATTGAACCGGGTGGGCTGCTTAGCCTGTAGGCAAAGGTCCAAATGGTGTGTGCTCAGCCTTAGCGTGTGCAGGCGCTCTGCGAGGCAATGGAAAGAGCACCCAGTTACCCAAGCCTGAATCCCAGGTCTCTCTCTTCCTCATTTTGCCTTGCCCTAATTTTATCTATTAAATATCTCTCAAATCAAAACCCTTTTCTGTATTCCCCGCCCCCTCCTCCTGCCTCCCTACCACTCTCTCCACATTGGGCATCTTG